TTACCTCAAAGCAAATGTTTTGGGGAGGGAAAGGGAAAGAAGTTGTTTTTATATTTTTTAGCATTTTTTTTAGTGTCATCATATTACAAACTTGTTAAATGTTCCTTTTATAAAATAGTTTTAAATGTTGGATGTCAGTGCCCACAAAAACACAGGACAGTAAATATACACACATTCACTTGATCTGGCCAGCTTCTTTTTGCAGTCTGCTTAACAGAATAGCTCTAGAGTATTGTGTCCTCTTTAGCTGTTAGTGAAAGTCTGGGAAATCAGGGGCTATAAGTTTGCTGGGAAACAAAGACTTAAGAGGAGATAGATTGGGGCTTCAAGCAGGTCAGAAACAGACAGAGGTCTCTCCCTGAGAATGGATTAAGTGTGTGGTTTAGCATGGGAGAACCTGAGATCGGATGCCCAACAGTGTTGTGTGAAGGGGCCCAGTGGAAACAGGGATGAGCACTGAGCTCACAGCTGGCAGCTCCCCTTCCATGCCGAGCTGCAGCATTCCTCCAGGAGCTTTTCTGAACACCAGGCTCCATGTTAGATTTACCATGTGTTCTATGATGCCTCCCTTTCCTCTGTGTGTTCAGCTAGATTTTCATCCCCAGGAACATGGATGCTGTCTGACATATTTATACTTCAGAAGTAGATAAAAGTCTCTAAAAGCACAAGATAAATCTCCCTGGTGACACTATATACACTTGAGGAGTCCTACGAACCTAAGACAGTTAAAGATGGCGCAGAATTGAGGATCCAGAAGCTGCTGGACCTCTTCATTAGATGCTTCTCTTCCTGAACCTTTTCCTGTTAGAGACATTCAGAGTGCTAGAAAACCTTGAGTCCTATGGACCCCTGCTCCCACTTTAGACCTCATCTGCATGTTTCTCTCACAGGTCCAGATTCTCTAAGTTGCAATTTCATTGTCAAGTATCGAAACTCATCTGGACAGTGCTCAGTGAATGGAAAGTCTCTCTTTTATTTTGATGATGAAAAACAGGAGGAAAATGCCACTGAGGTGTGTGCTGGTTTGTACCAAAGCCTGAAAGACACTTTTGATAAGATGACGAACCAGGAATCAGGGCTATTCAAGTCCCAGGGTAAGTATGAGACAGAATGCAAAGATAAAGACTGTAGATAAGAAAGAGGTAGACCAGAGTTTATGTAGAAAGGGAGTTGTGGATGTATCTGCCTAAAAGAGCTGACTATTGACCCAACCTCAAGGTACATGGTACCTAATGTGTAAGAAACAGCAAGCCAAGGAGGAAAGAATACAGATTCCTAAGTGTGCAGAGAAAGACTGGACCATTGAGGAGGTGATGGTTCTATGAAGGGTGGAAGGTGATATTGTTGTGTGTCGTTTGCAGGTAATCGTCCCTTGCAGGTCAGAACACAATCTCAATATAATCAAGGAGAATTCACTGATAGACGCTGGGCCTTCACTGTTGATGAACAGTATTCTTTCTACTTTTATGCAAAAAACATGACCTGGAGAGAGGGTCACCCTGATGCCATCAGGACCATGAGGCAATGGGAGAGCAACACGAAACTTGTCCAAAGTCTCAGGACACTCTCCAGGGGAGATTTCAGTTCCTGTCTCAAGAAACCGAAACACTCCAGAGAAATGCCACGTAAGTAGATTATCACAAGGAAACATACACATGGTGGGAAAGACATGGCAGTCCTCTTTAAAAAGTTGATGACTTCCTTATATGGATGTGAGCATGTGTGCACAATGGAAAATTTGGTCTTCCTGTTTTTGGAGCCAGTGGTGGCCATGAAGATTTCTCTTTCTCAACTAACCTCCAAGTGTTTCTCATTTCCTATTAACCAGTGGTCCAGGCTCTACAGGGCCTGCTAATGAGCCCCAAGTCTGTGTGCATCACTGCAAACTTCCAGCCTTTTCATCCTCAGTTACAGCTGCCCTTCCACCATCACTTTTGAAGGCCTCATTATCATTCTCTGGCATGATTAAACACCTCCAATTATGCCAACTTCCATAAAGTTCTAACCACAGTAAAATATGGCATATTTTTTAATAGTTCAATTGATATGTGCTTTATTTCATAGTAAAATAAACTCTCTAAAGACACCTTACACACACATCCTATTCATGTTTCTATCCAGGGTCTGCTAAAAAAGTTATCCACATGAGTTCCTTGGGCTGCCCAGAGAGAAAGTGTTGATGATGGAGGTGTGATGTTTTTAGCTATATCCACATTTTTTTTCTGACTTTTTAAGGATCAACAATGAAGACACTGGATACCACCCAGCCTATATATGCCACTCAGGATCATCCTATAGTGAATATTACCCAGCCTACATATGGCATCCACAATCAACCTATATCAAATATCACCCAAG